TTCACTAAATCTAGAGATCCAGAGTTTGAAGGAACGGGTGGAGGGCCTTAGTTTCTCACTTAGCAAGGTTGAGGAAGATGTGCAGTCCAAGGAAGCTCTGTTAGCTCAACGTGAAGATGAGATACAGAAGCTTAAAGAATGTCGGAGTGAGAAGGAGAGTCTCCTCCTCAGGACTGAGCAAAGGATTGAGATCCTCCAGACAGAGTTGTCTGCTGTCAACATGCTCGTGGTTGATAAGGACCAAAATCTCACCAGCCTCAGAGAGGAGGTCACTGTCCAAGCTAACCTGATGCAAAAAGCAAGAGAGGAAGCTGAAGCCAATGAGAGAATTCTGGCTGATATCAGGGAGGAGAGCTCCAAACACGCAGATGTTCTTCAACATGAGATCCAGGGTCTGAAACGAGACGTGAAAAACATTTCTCTACAACTTTCAGCTAAGGAGGAAATGTTACTTAAAACTCAACAGGAATCCTCTCAGCAGATCGACCTCCTCCAACAGCAGCTTGTTTCATTGAACACAGAGCTGAACCAACACAAAGACACACATGCTGCAGACCTCAGGCTGAGGGAGGGTGTGGAAGAGTTGCAAGTTATAACCCTCAGGGAAAAAGAGGCTCTCGTTCAGGAAAAACAAGAGCTCTTGGCCAGAATACATCAGGCAGAATCCGATCAGAAAGCTCTGGAGAAACAGCTCAAAGTCATGGCCTTCGAGAAGGAGAGACTTGCTCAAGCCAAGCATGCTACAGAGAGAGAGAACACAACCTCCCGTAAACTGGAATCCATGCTGGAGCATGAGATGGAAATTCTGAAAGAGAAGTTCCTAAAAGCAAATGAAAAAGCTGAAGAAATTGAGGCGCTAAAGAGAGAGCTGCAGGAACAGCTCTCAGCTAAATCAGAGGCTGTAGAACACTACAAGGCACAGGTTAGTGCGGCCACAATACACAACTCAAAGTGATAGTAGTCAAAATGATAATTTACTTTCTCCCTATTTTTGTTGATCAGTTGCTTTTGTCCCTGCACCACAATGCCATCATCCTTGTCGTTTTGATTTATCTGCTTTGACACTCAAATTCCTGACTTATCACTATGGCACAGGTGGAGAAAGCAGTGAATCACTACAATGGCAAGAAGCAGCTTCTCCAGGAGAGCCAACAGGAAGTGACTGAACTCAAGCACTCCTTAGGGGTTAAAGAGTGTGAAGTAAAGACAATCACTATGGAGAACAAGCTGCTCCAGCGGGATTTGGAGAGAGCCCAAACCAACGAGAAAAACCTCCTTGACATGGTGGCCAGTTTGAAAGCACAGGTTGGTATTTCATTTTGAAGCATGAGGAGGGAATGCAGTGAGCATGAACACACATTCTCACTAAGATGAGAAGGAAACATTTTCAGTGGTCAAAGGTCACAGCGATCATATATGAATCTGGGGGGGGGGGGTTTGAAAGAATGTGGACTGTACCCTGATCTCTTTCCCTCTTGTTTATTTACCTTTAGTTGACCCTTGCTGACCATAACCTGCAGCTGCACAATAGGATTCATGGTAAAAAAGGAAGTGCAAAAGACTTGTCTTACTTGGATGTTCCCAACACACACTCAAGCATCCAGACCAGGTTGAAGAGAACCGTGAGCTCTGACAGCCTGGACCAGAGCTCTCTGGAGGACTCTCTGAACAACACAAGGTAACGTTCCTCCCAGATAGGAAGCACCTAGCAGTTATCTCATCACATGTTCAAGGGACTCCTGCATCAACAATCCAAACGTGGAGGAAATAAAAAATGAGAAAAGCAGAAAAGCCATCATGTAAAATAAAGGGAGTCTATGTGATTGTAATCTTGCACAAAACTCTTTACAGGAAACTTTCAGCACCTGATGAATCCAGCACACCACTTGTTCGAAGCTCTGAGCGGTTGGCAGCCAAGCGACGTGGTCTTCAGGCCGAGTCACTGGAAACTCTCTACTTCACACCTATAAACACCAGACAGATTAACAGGTATTTCACAGAGTAGTGGATGTTTCCTTCTATGTCCCACATTACGTTTTCAAAATTTACTTTCATACATTTTTTTTTGTTGTTCCTGTGAGATATTATGATTTTTCCAGAAAAGCCCAATAAATCTGGGCAGTTTGTATGCTCCCTTTGGAACATCTCTGATGGATGGAAGTATAAAAGACTGAATGCTTATTATTGAAACACATTATTTCTATTATCAGTAAATTCCATCGCAATAAGAATATGAGTAATGCAAAAAGCAACAGGTATCCTAATTCCTAATTCTTCATATGTTTGATTTGTGCAACAACCGTGTTCTCTTTTTCATTGTGCAGAACCAGTACAGAGAACAGAATGGAACTGGATTCAGCTCGCAAAAATCCAAGTTCTTCAGTCAAGAGACGCAGGACCACACAGGTTATAAACATCACCTTGACCAAGGTGGAGGAAACTCACAGGCACAATGCATGTTTTGCATGTTCACAATAAAGCACACACTGTTAATGACTTTGAATAATCATCATAACTGGCTACTGTCTCACTCTGTCACAAATGTAGAGGATATGGTGATGTTGGAATTCTTCATTCATTCTCAGAGCTCAGCTGTACATCCTTTTTTGCCCTTTAGAAATATTCCCACTGCACTGTTATTGTAACCATGAGTGATTGTTGAACTCTGCTCTGTAGAAAACCCCAGGCTGCGGTGAAGGTGAGGAGACTTTCTACAGTCTGGCCTCAGCTCGCTCCCATCCAAACCTCTCCAGTGCTCACCCTGCACAACCCGTGTCTATGGAGCTGTTTGGCACACCTGCCAGAATGACAAGTGCCGCCAGCGACCAACTCATCGGTCTCCCAGGGTACAGACGGAGTACAATCCATTCACAGAGTGAGTACATACCAGATTGACACACAGGAGGTTCAAGTAAAAGGAAACTGAGAGATTAGGCTGGAAAAAAATAACCTGCCGGCCTGAGAAGTATCTTTTTTATCTTCTCTGTTGCATGTGGGTAACATGCACTTAGAACTGCCACTAATTGTTTCCATTAGTGATGAACCCAACAACTACATTTCTAATCAATAATTCCTTCAGTCAAAAAAAGAAAATAAAGCTGCTCTCATTAGAGTGTTCACGTTTCTATGTTACATGGATAATGTGTCTCAGCGTTTCTTTTAAATGTGAAGTGCAGCATTTTGCTCACATGTGTGCTGTAATGTGTATTATGGAAGTGATAAATAAAGCTTAACATGAATCTGCTGAATCTGAATAGGGCCATCACATTGTTCTAGAGTGAGGGGTTGCCATCCCTAACTAATGGTCCAAAACACCAACATTCAATTTAACAATTTACTTTAATGTATAAGTGACAAATCATCACAATGGAATAGTAACTGATTCCTTCTACAGTTACAAAAGAAAAAAATAATCTAGATTTAAAAAAAAAAATGTGTATGTAACTCGATTTTGTTTCTATTTCTCTGTGTTTAGCCACTAGTACGTTTTGTGTGGGGGCAGAGAACGAGCCAGACGGTGCTCCTGAAGATTGGCTGAGGATCGCTGAGCTGCAGACCAGGAACAGGGCCTGTCTTCCTCATCTGAAGAGCAGCTACCCTGTGGAGTCGGAGGTGAGGAGAGAAGGGACACTTGGATGTACAGTGAACACACTAGGCATACAGTTGACACTTGATGTAGCTAGTAATTAAAATAGTATTGATTATGAAAATGAAATGCACGTTTGTTTTGACACCCCATCAGGAATATAGAAAAACATTGATTTATACATTAATCTGGTGAAACAGGCTAAAACAATATTATCCAGACTATGACCCACAGTCCGACTGGTGGATTTAGTAGCTGATGTCTTAAATTCTCCCAATAGATTTATCAAATCCTTCTTTATTGTTTTCTAGACGGGCCACGGCAGCGTATTCATTTTCACAGACGAAGAAGTCCGTACAGGCGACCCATCTGACACAATCCGCCGGGCGTCCACGATGCCTGGCCAGCTGCAGGACTCTCTCGTCTCCCACCGTCACTCCCTCATGCTGGGTCAGTCGGGTGCTGCAGCCAATACTCGTTCTCACCGGCTGTCCTTGATGCCAGGCCAGCTGCCGTCAAAAACCGTCAGCTCCTCTCAGATAAGGAGCCCAAAAGGAACAAAGCGATCATCATCTACGTTGTCTGTTCATCAATTTTCACCTGAGGTTGGTTTGCATTGATAAACACAGATATTTATTTTTTGATTGTGAATTATTCTGTCTTTATACGTCTGTCAATATATTAAGGACATCGTTGTAACAAATGTTTGTCCAAACTCAATTTGTGATCAAAGCTTAGTGTTTGGTCTTGGTTACTAATAGTCACAAATCTAATTAAAACTGAGCAGGTTTCATATATTTTACCTCCTGAAACCTCATTTTTCTATTCTCCACTTTTGTCATTATCTCATTTTGACAGAAAAAGGTGAAGGCCAGCTGCTTCCCCCGTCCCCTCACTCCCAAAAACAAGAACATAAACAGTGGAACTTCCAGCTCTCAGCTGAGACCCGCCCTCAGTCCAGTGAGTGTAACACACACACACACACACACACACACACACACACACACACACACACACACACACACACACACAGAGTATTAACTGGTTGAGTTAAAGTAGAGATGGTTCCAAAAAAGTTTTCCATGCTTTTCTAACAGTTACACTTGTAATATTCTTTCAGGCTGAGCGAAGGCAGTCCATGATGTTCACGGTTGACAACACCCCTAAGAAAAACAACTACCTGAAGAAAGGGTTGAACAAACTACGCACCTCCACCTCCAGCTCCAACCCTTCAGGAAATCCTCACTCTGGAGTAGGACGAGCTGCCAAAGCCGGCAACTTTAAGTCACCACAGGTGACAATTAAAGGACGGAAGAAGTCTCCACAAACCACCAGCAAGACAGGAAAGTCTCCTGGGCTGACAGCTAGTGCTCGAAAGGTAAAGGCAAATCCATTCAGGGTTTTAAATCAAACAGTTGGATAATAATTTATAAGTTTGCCTGTGGAATATTCTGTCTGAGCGGAACTTGGTTTGCCAATATCAGCAAACTACTAATTATGTAGTGGCAAAGGTAGGAACAGCTGCAATCAAGGGTCCTTCTTGTACTGCTTTTTAATCAAAACTTAATTTGAATGATTTCAAAGCTGCACCATCACAATTTTACAGTTTTCATTTAAATAGATGATGATTACATGGCTCATAGGGGAACAATACTTCAGTAGCATAAACTGGAGCTAAACCATGAATCTCAAACTGGCTTTGAACCAGCAAAGGGGCTAAAATAGGCACATTACTGCCCCCTGCTGTCATTAGTCAAGCACTGATACAGGTATGGTGAAGTGTACTGTATTACTGGTTTTTAATTTTGACTCTCTATATACACACATGGAGTCTACAAAGAAAGATAATTCACTCTACTGCTGTTCTATATGTCTACTACTATTGGAGCACTATTGTATTGCATTGGATTGCAAAGGTGTACCTAATAAACTGTGAACTTTGTATATGTAGAAAGGAATAACATTGCTTGGAATATGTTCATGCATTGCACCTCAGTAACTGCTGAATTTAAACACTGTTTTCAGAAATCTGTGTCTGTAAACGGGGAAAACTTTGCTGGAGGTTGGAAAAGGTCAATAAAACAACATTATAATTTACTTTATGGGGATTTTGGTGCATCTGACAGTATTTATAGTTTAAAGCTGGTGGTTGGTTCTCATGTTACAACTTAATAATTCACGGTGTGGTTTACAAAAAAATAGATTTCCTTATTTTATACTAACTTCAACTTTCACTTAGCATCATATTCATATTTTAGGGTTACTCTGAGCCCTGGCTTCATTTTTTTTTTTTCTAATCTTTTTTTAATTTTTTATCCCACAGATGATGAGGAGAATGAAGGTGTGAGGACTCGTTACCAGTGTGGATTTATGATCTTCAGTTCCACTTGATCATACTTTTTTCTTTTTTGTTGTCGTCCTTCAGGACTTTTTTTTTTTAAATTCTTGTCTTAATCATCTACCATTTTCTTTGTATTATATTTACATGTTTCTGAATAAAAACATTTAAATCACATATTGCTTGTCGAGTATTCACCATTTCTCAGAGTTGAGACTCTGAGTGCAGCTCATGGATGATCCAGGAAATCTTGGAGGAGAGATTAATGTTAATATCTTATGAAATATACTTTTCTAAGATGGCTTCAACAATAAAAGCCTGAATATTTTGATTTTGTGAAGGTTATTGCCTCATTACCTCCATCCCACTGACTTTTGTAAAAGTAGAAAATAAACTGTGATTAACATTGGTGAACATGTGAAAACAGTTGACTTCTGATTTGAGAAGTAAGGGGCTGTTTTAGCTTGTTACCACTATATAATGTTAAAATGACTTTTAGGGCCTGAAATGTATTGCAATTTTAATAGTGAGAGATAAAATAGTCTTACATTAAAAAAACAAACTACAAACTTTGTCAGATTATCTATTATAGTTTTTACGGATTACTATTTGGGCTCAATTTGTTCCATCTTTACCATGTGGTTTGAATGCAGTGTTGTTTTAAACACTTACAGGGAAACGAATAGAGTGAACTCCATGTTAGAATCATGTCAGGATTAACACGTCATGCTAGTTTTTTATGCATGTTTGAGTAAACGTGTGTAGGCTGTGCCTTTATTTTGAAAGAAGTGATCCGGAAGCTGTGTGTTGGGATAACCGGTACGAAACTGAAAGTATAAATTGGGTCGGTGCCGGTTAGAAATGGCGACAGACGAGAGGCTGCTTACTTTATAGGTTCTTTATTTGGACTCATTGTTTTCTGGGAAACTTTTATTCAACACTTGTTTATGTTTTAATCCGCCATGTTGTTTCGGGACAGAAACGACGGAGCGACGTCATGACTCAAAGTCATGTCGTCGCAGAGGATCCAAGTTTTTGGATTAAAATGTATTTTGATAAAGTTGGTTAAAGTTAATCACTAGTTATTTTGCTGAGGAGTGATTCCGTGACCACAGAAGACATGGACTCAGACACGGAAGTGGACAGGTGTGTTGTTTTTGTTCAAAATTCAAACTGATCGAACTATTTGATGACCCGCTTTTATAGACTTCCGGGTAGTCATCAAGTGGGATGAACTTGGATTTGTATGATCGTCTGCTGAAATTCAGAATGATTTAGATAATGTACAGATGTGTACTGACCTAAGGAAATAATCACCTCAAAATCGTTTTCCTGGTAACGAGTGTGGTGCTGCTGACTTTTACTGCTTTGTGACTAAGTGTGTTTCGTTCAGTTTGTCCATCTGATCTGTCAGTGAGAGTTGGATAAATAACAGAAACAGCATTGATCAGTGAATTCAATATTTAACAGCCAGTGTGAATTTTCTACACACGTTGGTTAAATTTTATTGCTCATTAGTTGAAGTTCACTGAACTTCAGCAGTGTCTCCCCCGCTTCTATGCCAACGTTTTCTTTTCCCTTCCCCTCAGTATCTGCAGGGAGAGGAATATGGAGGAGAGGAAGAAAAGTTGGAAGAGGCCACCCTCCAGTTACGGTTCAATGAAGAGCGATGATACAGAGAAGGATGAGGAAAACAAAGAAGAAGTTGAAATGTTACCTGATTCATCTGCTCCGGAGGCGACCAGGTGTTGTGTCTTTGTTCAATGTTTGAGAATTGTCCCACTGCCTCTGTGTTTTGGCCACTTCAGCACAAATAGCATAAAGTCTCTGCTGGGATCTGTACCCTGGGCCTTGCTCCTGAGCTGGTGTTGGGCTTTGTTTCAGTGAATATTAATATAATCTGCATGTCAGTTTGCAAACACTGTAGCAAGATGGGAATTAAGTAGGGTTTCTTACATTGGTCTTTCTGAGAAGCTAAACATATAAAAGCTCAGGGCCACTTCGGTGATACAACTGTAGAGTTTCTTAGCTGCTACATGTGTGTGTCTGTGAAATGATCACCACAGACAGAAACCTTTAGGAAAAAACTAATGCTTGGAATGGTTTGTACTTTATGTTGCTTGATGCCAGGTTGTTGCTGATTCGCTCCAATTCTCCAGAGACCCTGTTCAGTATGACCACGCAGCAACTGCCACAAGAAGCTGATGTCATTGAAACCAGGTGGAGGACACACACACACACACACGCGCACACACACACACACACCCTGCCACGGACAACATGTTTTTCAGGCTTTTTAAAGTTTTCTCCCACGTCAGAAAATCTAAACGTATGTACTATACTGGTCTGTTTTGTGTTTATTTACATTCATGTCATAATCATCAGTATATTAGTATATTGTAATATTAATGTCTTATGTTTGGGATCTCCGTTTGATAGTAGACAGTGCAGTGCAGTTTCTGACCTGAGCCCTGGGGCTCCTCATTTTCTCTCAGGTCGATCGATCGGGGGAATTCTTCAGAAAATGACGAGGATGCTATGGATAAGGTTTTGATAGCTAACTCCCCAGAACCACCTGAGCCCATTGAACTTGATTATGCATTGGAGACTGAGGAGAACAGAAGACTTGGCAAACTACATCCAGAGCAAGACCTGCCACATATATTCAAGGTTTGGTTTACCACAGTCTTTAAAGCTTCATCACAAGTTTCTCTGAAGCAGTTTGATGCTAATGAAGCATTGTATAAATAACATTGTGATCAAGGGACATCCCTATAAAAGCACATTTACTATATGTTGTCTAATCTATATGTTAAAAAAAATCTTCACAATTATTGCTATTATTACTTTAAATGTGAAAAAACAAAGACAAATGTGTTATTAATAAATAATAATATATATTTTAATTTTGTTAATATCTGGACTACTGGGCATGTAAGGTAACATGTTTGAACTTGTGTTAACTTCTCATATTTTGTTCTCTTGTCTGTAGAGTATCCAGAACTGTCTGACAAGCCTGACCTGGGAAGAGCTGTTCAATTTTAAGTTGCGGTTTATACAATGGAAACCAGGTTTAAACGACCAACAAGTGATGGAGGGAGACTTACTGGATTTTGTCGACAAGATCCTGGAGGTCCTCGGTGAGAAAACACAGCTATAATCTGTCCAGTGTGAACGACACAAAAGACCTCAAGATTTAGAGAAGCAGCTTTTGAATGTTGTGAAGTGAACCATGTGAACTTATTATTCAAAAATATAGAATTTAGTTGGAAGATGGTTGTAAATTGGAAATCTAGTGGATTTTGCTGCTCCTGTTTCATTCACAGAAAAATGTTTAGTGAATAAAAGCGATCACTGACTTTTGCGAATTGCTTACTATTTTTATTTTATGATTGTGTTCTGCAGGCCCGGAGCATTCCCTGAGGCACACAATAAGTACTCTAGAAAGTATCGACAAGAAAGCAGTAGCAGATGATCTACAGAATCAGTGCAAGAGAGGCAAGTGAACTTCTCGTACTGCTGAGATATTATAATGAAGTCTGGATGTTGTCGCAGTGTTTCTTTTTTTTACAAAAGAGTTCTCGAGGTTGTTTGATTATGTTTCATGTTTTAGGAAAGTTCATAGTGCAGCTGTTCTGTGAACCTCACAACTTGGCTGACGTTTCTCACATGTGTTCTTTTGTAACAAAAAGCTATTTAATGAAGCATGGACTACTTTGTTTGTTGACTTGTTCGGTCTAGATCGCCAAACGATTAAAATGTCAACCTTGTGATTTAAAACCTTACTTTACCTACACTTAAAAAAAAACTGTGTGAATATGATCCTGAGAAAAGGTTTGATTTTTACATCTCCAGCCTTTTAGCAATTTCAGGTTCACTTAATGTTCTGATTTCACTATGAGCCTGGTGTCATGGGAAATGAGTGAGAGATGGATTTTTTTACCCCTAATGGATGATATGTTATTCTGATTTATTTACATTGCACTTTGTGACTTTTGTTCTGAAGGAGTTATATAAATAAACCTTATTCTTCTTCATCTTATCAATATGATTTGTATACATAAGAACAATATTACAAATGAACAAACATATATTACCAGTTTAGCGTTGATGGTTGTACGTGGTGTGTTGCAAACTTTTTTGCAAAAATCCTAAGTAGATAAGTATCCTCCTTGATCACGATGCTGAAATGAATTGTTTGTTTTAAATTGTATTTCTCTTCCACCAGCCATCATCCGTTTTCATCTGAAGCAGCAATCGATCAGAAAACACCAGATCATCCGTGAGGGGGTCGTTCGAGCCGGACGGTGGAATCTTCTGGATACAATCTACGTTGAGCCCCAGATTTCCACCCGTTGCCACGGAGGAGTTGATCAATCTCATGAGTTCCCATCACATCCTCCATCACCTCTTCAGGTCCCTAGCCCCGACACCTTCGTTCATGTAAATGAGTTGTTCCGACCGCGGACTGATGACGACGAACCGGTGAGGACAGTGCTGACCACCGGGATTCCTGGAATTGGAATGTCTGTATCTGTAGGGAAGTTCTCTCTGGATTGGGCAGAACAACGAGCCAATAAGGTGAGATCTGAGGCGAGAAAGCTCCTATTAACGCTCTGTATCCTGCCATACAGGCACCAAATAGCAGACAGATAAACTTAGCAACCAGCTGATGAACACAAACTGCCAGACACAGTGTGTATTTCATGAGTTTGTCCAAATCAGAGGTAAATATGAGACTTATCATATCAGCAGAAACGTCAGTCCATTGCTCCTGCTTTGATGATTCATTATTGGCTTTAAAGCTGTAGGACAGTGGTGTGAAACTCAAAAAATTAAGAAAATAGATTTTCATTAATTTAGTCAGCAGGAGGCACTTTGGGCTGCAGGCAAACGTCTGCACTGTGAAAGTCTCTGGCAGTGATTTGTTGAAAACAATGCTGCTGCAGTTTGCTCCTAAATAATCATTCATTTATATAAATTACATTTGAGAAGATAAAGCAAATTTCATTCTGTAATTTGTTTCTATTTTTCTCTTTAAAAGAAGGAAAGAAAGGATAACTGACCATCGTAGTACATTAGTACTAATTCTACTGTAACATATGAATCATTATCACTAATTCTAGAAGTACCATTTAAATCTACAATGCTGTTTTTTTGTTTGAATTTTCAATGTCTGATTTTAATTTCTCTTTAGGATCTGCAGTTTGTCTTCGAACTTTCCTTCCACTCTTTCTGGCGTCTCCGAAACAAATTCCCCTCCCCTTCCTCTCAAAAGATGTCCATCATGGAAGTGATAGAATATTGTCATCCTGAGTGCAAAGACGTGACGTACCTGGAGGAGAACGGCTGTAGATTTCTCGTCATAATGGACTCCTTTGACTGTTACCAAGCTCCTCTGGACTGGGAGGTAGAACCATCAGTGCACATTTACACCCGAGAACCCAAAACATCCTAAAAATGATAATATAATATATCATGGTCAATGACAGAAGAATCTGATCATGTTTTACGAGCTACTCGCTGCTCTGTAGTTGAACATATAATGAAACATCTGCATGTCTGTGAACCTTCTCTCTCCAGAATGCTCCAGTAATTAATGACAATTACACGCAAGCACATCTTGACGTCCTGATTGTAAATATCATCCGCGGTACGCTGCTTCGTGGTGCCTGCATCTGGATCCTGGGTAGACGTGGGGCTGTCTCACAAATCCCATATGAGCTGATAGACGTAGCCACGGAAATACAAGGCTTCAGGTGTGTGTATGATTATGTCCTTATGCCAGCCTTATATTTACTTAATATATTAAACATCACATTAACATTGTCATAATTGCATTTTAAGCCGTTAATTTGAGTCCTGTTATCTTTTGTTTCCCCTCTCCAGTGATGAGATGAAAGATGACTATCTGACCAGACGCTTTAGCGATGCAGCGCTAGCTACGAATATTGTGGCGCATTACAAGCGCCTGCTGACACTCAACATCCTCGCCCGCCAGCCATTTATCTGCTGGATGGTGGCCACAGTGTTTGAGCGCTGCTTCCGCTACCAAGGCTACGGAGTGCACCCCCCCAGGCTGACGCCGTTCTACGTCAACGTTTTGATCGTCCAAACCAATCGCAGGCTTCAGTTCTACTATGGAAAGCGCGAAAATGAACTGGTAATGTCAGTCTGTTCTTTTGTGTTTTTCTCCCCTTCATTAAAATGTATAAAAACGACCAGACCTATGTTCCATATTCTGATGACTTTTGTGCTTTCATCATGCAAAATGTTTCCAACAATTTTCAAACCCAGAGAAATCGACAGTTTTACTCAAGGTCACAGGATATTTCATTTTGGTCGCCTTTAAATTGCATCGTATCTGCTTCACCTGGAGCTTTGCCAGCTGTTTGTATTGATCATTCGTGATCAGTCATAATAATTCACTGTTGTTGTTGCTGCGCTACGTGAATAACACTTAAATACCTGACCCAATCCTGAACAGGATTTCTTGTGTCAGATAGAATTTCATCTGCAATGGTGGTGAAGATAATAACTCCCACACTGTCTCATTCTAACATGAAACAATTACACAGACGTCTGTCTGACATTGTCAGTAAAACCACAAATAAAAATAGTTTCTTAAAACTACAGTTGTATTTTCAGGATTGTCAAGATTTGACATTTTGATCCTGTTTCCTCTAAGAAATGGTCCAGTGCTGACAAGAACCTGCTGACGAAGATGGGGTGCATGGCCCTTAAGATGTTGGAGAGGAAGACCAGTGTGTTCTTTGAAGAGGACTTGAAGCACTACTATCTGGAGGTGACGGAGGTGACGGTGTGGTCCGGTCTGTGCACCGAGCTCCCCTCTGCAGAGGGGAGGAGGACATTCTGCTTCATACACTTCACCTTTCAGGTAAAACTCACAACGCTTACACCTCGATAATCCATGGAATCTATTTTTACCCTCCAGTTTACTGTATTTATAATATCTGATTATAAATGATGATGAAACCACTTAACAGGATATCCCATAGAAATCATCTAAAAAGCACTATACTTCTTTCTTTAAGGAGTTCATGGCCGCTTTGTACGTCTTCAAGATGTTCTATCTGGATTCAAAGAATGTCTTGCGATTGAGCAACACCAGCAAGTCCAGGTTTGATACCAAATCAGCAGCAAACCTGGTCCACTGCGTGTTGGAGCAAACATTTAGCTCCACTCTTGGCAACTATGACATGTTCCTGCGCTTTCTGTGTGGCCTACTCTCCCCGCATTGCCACCAAAGTCTGCTGGGCGGCTTCCTGTTCCCTCACAACGCTCCGAAAGTGGACAGACTGGACGAGGTGAAGCGGCTGCTGGAGCAGACGATCGAAAATGCCCCAGGAGACAGGGTGGAAAACTTAAAGGAGTGCCTTCGAGAGATGATCCAAGAAGATGAATGAGATGACATGAGATTGCATCAAGAAAATCAGTCTCACTTTATATTGATATGAAAAAGCTGAAAACACTCAACTGAACTTTATTCTGAAGAAAGTCTCACATGGACTCTGAGGAGGACATGCAGTCCTCTGCGGGGCTGTCGCTGGTTACATCGGTGAAGTGGTTTCGTAGTTTCTCAACAAACAATCAGACTGGTTCAAGATTTTGTATCCAGAAGGAGAAGAGAGTGATGAAGAAAGTTTTCTTTCCTTGACATTTAATGACTTGGTCTTTGTTTGAATTTCAACTCTCATTATATGAGATATTTTTTCATATGTCCTTATACTCTGTTGTAGTAATGCCACTGTTCCAAACAAAATATTAGTCTAAATATTCATGTACGGTGCTCTTCTGATTTTTGATGTCTAACAATGAGCACTAATATAGAATATGGGATACCTAAATGTGTTCTAACTGGTTTTTAAGTCATCCAGCTTTGTTGTTTTATTTCCAGTTATGGCCTTTTCTCCTCTAAATACACAGAAGAGACAAAAGCTGTCTGTTTACAAGTTGTGCCATGTAAGGTGTTGATTGTGATGGCATGACACTACTCTGTTGCCCGTCAGAAGAAGCAAGCTGCGTGGCCACAAGGAGGCGTACTTGCACTGTAGTTGTTGTGTCATTCTGGCTTTTATTTGTGTTTTTATTGATCTTCAAATTTACAAATGGTATCTGGATTAAGACTAATGGTTTAGGAAAATGTTAACCAGGTTTGAAACTGATACAACTGAGACTGGCCAATCCCAGACTGGCCAATCACGTCCTGTTTCACCAAGCTGGGGCTGGTTGTTAGGAGCTGGACACTCACGTTCTGCTTCACTCTACAGTCTGATCCAAAATGGCTGCAATCAGTCGTCGGACAACTTGAATCAACAAAGAGCTTGCAAAGGAGCAAACTCTTTTGATGACGAGCTGAAAATGGAAATGAACTGAAGCACCAATCCACACAGTGGCAGGATGGAATTAACCTCACCGTCGGAATAAATGGTGAAATTATATTGAATCTAAAGAACTGTTTTTATGTTTCATGTTTGTGTTGTTGTTTATTGTTGAAGTATTGTTGAGTGAAACATGGAAGATATATCATCTGTTTTCTGGCCACATAAGAATGGTTTGATTTTATTTGGCTTGTGTGTAGCCAGAGACATTTACAACACAACGACAACATTTAAAAAAGCATAAATTAGAACCAAACCAGAAAAAGATTTGTCAGTTGTGTTGTGTCATGATGTTCAGAGGGTCACTGTTCTGCTGAGACCTGGACATTCCTGCAACATGACGGGGATTGTCCATCGCTGTGTGTGTTTGTGTGTTGTAGGTGATGTACACACCCTCTTTTCACATGTTCGAAAATAGACAGTTCAATCACGTGTCTTCACGTGCCTGCTTCAAGCAGGTGGTATGAGGGTCATAGCGGCTGCATGGATGGTGAAAGCAGCGATGCTGATTTGACGCTTGACTTCCTCCCAGGCCTTCTGTGGGTCAGCTGAGTTCTCGATGTCAAACAGTGAATCAAAGATCCCAGGGAAAGACTCCCCTGCGTATTTATTATGGCTGCTGGGAGCAAATATCACATGTCTGCAACAGAGAGGTGGGTGTTACATTAAAGAAGTATTATAGAAACTGCAGCGATGTAGAAATATCACAACTTAAGTTATAATTTCACAGAGTTTCTGAATAAACAGGGAGGAGAATCTGCTGTGGCTGAAAAATGCTGCCACATATGTATGAGATGAAGACAACAGAGGGAATTTAGTGCTGTCAGTGTTTTGTTATGAAATGTGATTTAATAGGTTTATGACTTATACTGCAGCCAACCACCAGGTGGCGTTCAAAACGCTTTGGCTTCACTTTTGAGAAGCTGTCATGTTTTATCTTTATATACAGTGCATGGTTAAATCTGACCGATCATTGTCAGTTATCTACAGTCCACACGGCCAAGTAGAGGCTGCTGTGGTCAACTACATGACCAGTTGATGAGACTCATGTCTGGTGAAGTGTGTGTGTGAGAGAGAGAGAGACTAACCTGTAGAAGGGTCTACCAGGTAAACCCAGGGGGTCTATAAAGGCTCTCTCCAGATACATAAGCTGATCGTTCACCATGCGTAGCTGCAGAGGACTGATGCACACACAGACATACAAACACACACATCCAGATAACAATCAGAACATGTTTTCCAACACATTTACTCTTTCCTTCAATCAAAGACAGGTTAAACTCACTCTGCTCTGTTGAGGGTCTGCAGACGCTCATGGAAATCCCTGGATGCAACAGTGAAGTTTTCCACTGCAGAAAACAGAGCCTCTGGAGATATGGAGGTAAAAACATTCGAAATGCAGAGATGTTAGGTCAACAAGATTCTTCAAATCTTTGAATTACATTCGTATCTGAGCACACGTGGATAAAAAACAACTCACCAAACGACACCTTGAACATCTCCATCTCTTTTGGGTGCCTCTGTGCCAGCTGTGCGATTCTCTGTGCGTACTTCCCCAGTGAGTCTGCGTACTGGTCGGCACTGAGAGGCAGCAGCTGGGAATCGGCCAATAGTAGGACGAGGCCGCCTCTCACCTGGGCCACAGCCCGCAGCCTTCTGAAGGAGGGGTCGTAAAACCTCTCCACAATCTCAAAGGTTTCATACACACTGTGGTAGACGGGATAACTGCTGTAGCGCTCTGTTTTCTGAACACACACACACAGAGGACATTTCACGTTTTTTTCCCAAGTAATACTGGCCTCAGTCTAACCCATACTCTCATCTGAGGTTAAAGGTTCAGTGTGTAGAATTTAGTGACATCTAGTGGTGAAGTTGCATGTTGCAGCTGAAAACCGCTCATCTCACCCTCCCCTTCTAAATATGTAAAAGAACCTGTGGCAGTCTTCTGTTATCAGAAAAACTCAACAGATGTTTAGTTTGTCCAGTCTGGACTACTGTAAGAAACATGGCAGCCTCCAAGAGAGGACGAGCCCTCTGTAAATATAAAGTATTTCAATATAAAGGTTCCAGTCTAGGGTAAAGAAAACAACAATTTGTACGATTTAGATGAAACACACTGGTGAAAACATCACTATTCAATTTCTGCCAATAGATTTCTTTCACCTAAATCTGGCACACTGAACCTTTAACGATTAATGATTATAGAGACATGGAAATAAACTCAAACACACACAGAAGCTGTAAAAACATGAAACTACACAAACACCGGAAACAATAAACCTTTCACACACACTAGTGTGGAAAAATATTTTTTTATGATTCACAGAGAGCAGGTTTTTACAGCTTTTACAGATATGTTCTAGAGCTGATATCCACAACATAGATACACAATACACAATAAACATAGAATCACACAACCAGGTAAAATAAAACACAACATATGGCGTACCTTGTTCTTGGTGTATCTGGCTCTACCTGCAGCGATTCCCAGACGGATGAAATAGGCCTCGAAATCACTGCCTGAGCCCAGTTTACTGATTCTACAGAGCAACAGAGTAAAGAGCACAGATGAATTGATATATTTGATGAATTTATTTTACTTTTTAATGGTTTAGCTAAGACGTTTCAACAAATGTTACCGTCCGAACATGGTTTAAACTCGACACACCTTAGATTTGACCTGGTCGTCTGAATCCCTCGTTTCAGCATCTTCCTCTTCTTATTCTTGATAATCTCTACAGTACCAACTTCACTACTGCTGAACCTTTTTTTAGCTTGAGCCTTGTGTTTTTTAATGTTTTTTTAGTTTATGTGCAGCCTCAGTTCTGACCCAGATCATACCTGGGTGCATCGCGGTCATTCGTCCAGTTGTCCCGCTTGTGCCAGCTCTCGTACAGAGAGACGCCCTCCTCTCCGTCTTCTGGACTGGCTATCTACATGCAAACATAGAAAGAAAGACAGAAAATACATTACAGAGGGCACAGAAGACTTGTCTTAAGTTTCCTATAATGTATGTAAATGCCCTCACTTGCTTGGTGAGGTCATACACCAGAGTGTTTAGAGACGGAGTGCAGTCAACCCTCAGTGTGTACATACCTGCAAATCAAAGACATGCAAATCAGATCAAAACATTTTCAGCCTCTGCACTTTTTACAATTTATAAATACTGACACACACTCACCCTCTATGGCAGAGTCTGCGTTGATATAGGCCACAGCTCTCTCCTGCAGCAGCTTAGCATTGTCCTTTTGAGAGGAATGAAGTCAAGATGTGTATAAACGTGTGTGTGTGTGTGTGTGTGTGTGTGTGTGTGTGTGTGTCATACCTCTGCCCATTCTGTAGATCCCAGCAATCCAAACTCCTCAGCGTCCCAGCTGGCAAATACTATCGTCCTCCTTGGCCTCCAACCTACACACACACAAACGCACACACACACACACACACACACACACACACACACACACACTGACTATTGTCAAAGTTGTTCACTCTTTTTAGTCACATTAATTAGGTATGCAAACACAAACCTTTATTGAGGAGCCTTCCGGCGCTCCTGACGATTTCATGGACGACTGCAGCCCCAGACATGGGATCTATTCCACCAAACACCCAGGCGTCCCGGTGTCCTCCCAGAATCACATACCTGTCTACACACACACACACACACACACACACACACACACACACACACACACACACACACACACACATGCGTTGAAAGAGGTGTTACACCAATGATAGACACTTCCTCAGGAGACAAAAAAAACTTGGCCGTACCTGGCTCCAGAGCTCCTCTAATTCTACCAATGACGTTGTAGATCCTGGTCACCTGGTTGTTTGTGTGGATGTTCATACGCACCTTCCTAAAACAGACAGATTATTAAGGAACCAGATACAACTTATTTCTACAGCTGCTCTCTTCATTTCTGGTTGCTTCGTTTTAGACACAAAAGCCAATCACAATCCAATGTTGCTTCACTCTCTTGAGTTCAGCTCGTCTCTCAGCAGCTGTTCTGTGCACAGATGTTTGGCTCTCTTTTCTCCACCGCTCTCAGCCCCCAGCAGGGTACTTGTCTGTGAGGGATGGTTCTGCAGTGACCCCTTAGAGCACCCAGCCGTGCTTAGTGACTTATGTTTGTAGCATATTTTTATCTTAGCCAATTCAAAATTAGTGTAAGGAATTTTAAAAGACCTTACCTTTAATCTGGCGCCTGTCACTCCACGCAGGGAGGATGCTCCTGGAAGCCACCACCGACCGTTGTGTTCCCTTCAGAGACGACTGTTTGTGACGCAAATTTTGTAAGAGAAATGCTCGACTTCAGTAAAACACTGGAAGTTAAGAAAGTCTCAGAACTCGTGGAGAAAAGTTACAGCCAGACGGGACTTCTTTATTTGCATGACATCAGCATACAAACAACGTCGAAACAACAACGAAACAACCCCAAACACTCGCTTTTCCAGACCTTATATCCTCGGTGACCGCCCATGAGTGAATGTGAGTGTATGTTGGTGTGATCGTGCTTGTGTGTGTGTGTGTGTGTGTTTGGGGATCCAGAGGTCTCCTGCTTCCCTGCTTATTCCCAGCAACTGCGGTCGGTGTGCCAGTACATTAGGAACAGTGAAAAATAGGAGCAATGGAATACATTCCATTGCTCCTATTTTGGCGAAAACAACCAGTTCTATTAGTGTCAATTACTGATATCGCTGGGTCATTGCCATCCAGATGGTTCGGCCCCATGCAAACACCAATCAACCATTCGGACCTCTATTTCCCAACTTCCTCTCGTCCAATCTGATATTTGGCCAACTCTCTAATTGTGTAACTGACTTTATTTGGATCTCAAGTACAGAGTAATAATACATTATCTGCTCTACAAGATGCTCACAGGGGGGGAGGCCAGAGATATGAAGA